GGGAAGGGGACAGTGGTCACTGCTCTGTAGCAGCAGGGCCTGCAGAGTCCTGTCCTTCCTGTCCCTCCTGTCCCAGGACAGGGTTTGTCTGTCAGTTCACCCCTGACAACAGCACGGATGAACATCCTTGGTAATGACAGCTTTTCATCTTTAAACTGCACTTTCAAAGCCTGAACAGAGGAAAATTCACACTAGGAACGACTACAGCCCACAGTCTTGATCCTGAAATTACATTTCAGCACTGAAAATGCCCAAGTGACTGCAATGACACCGTGGGGTGACCACAYTTGGTACCAATGGCATTGATCATTCTGAGAATCGATCCCAGGCAGAGGAGGGGACAGTGATGACAAAGTGTCACCACTCAGTGCTGCAGCAGCGCTCCCATCCCATCACCTCTACAGACTCTCTGCCATCACCCCTGGGGATCCTGCTGCGTGCTGATCCTTGGATAAATCCCCATTTAGCATCTTCAAGGACCATCAAATCAGAMCAATGGTTCATTTCCAGCCAAACACGACCACGGTGCTTTTGGGACCACGGTGATGCGTGCTCCATCCATGGGCTCTCTGCAGACTTTGCTCTGCTTCCAACTCACCCAGATTCACTTCCCCCTTGGCCAGGACAGGGTTGGGGTGCACTGGGGCTCTCCCAGTCCCTGGGTGCCCACAGGAAGTGCCCCAGACTGGTTTTCCTCTCCCAGCCTACGTGGTACAGGGACACTGCACACCAGGTACCCGCAGATCCTTGTCCAAAGACCACAGCAAAGCCTTCCTGTGCCTGAGGGATTGCTTCCCCTCTCAAATGGATTGTTTTCAAGTATTAAATGTTGTTATTATCATCAGTAAAATGCCCAGCTTACCTTTGGTAAACAATGAAGAAGCTGTGAAGAATTGCTGGATGAACGCCCACGCTTCGGCTTTGGGACTGACAAAGGCATTTAAGCTTCATGAAAGCAGCACAGACACTTCAAAGCAGGAAAAGAGTTATTAAAAATTATCTGACAAGAAGTGACACTTCATCTGCATCCACAGTATTTAATTTGTTTGAATAATATAGTTACAGATAAACAGGTTCACTCCATATACAATTACCAATACCTTTGTTTTAATACAGCTCATATTCCAGTACATCAACACTATTTTATTTACAAGGCATTTATGTACATTAACATCTTTCTAAAGTCAGTGCATTGTCAATAAGTTTTATACAATAATTTACAAAGTGAATGTAGTTAATAGTTAACTTAATAAATTTACTACTAATTCTTGAATTAATTTAATTTAAAAAAATTAATTACAACCAATGTAACAAACACAGAAGATCAAATAACATTAGTAGATTGTGCTACCTGCTTAAATAAAACATTTTAAAGTAAATCAGTTGAAAATCTTTCACTTTTCATGGAGTTTGCGGAGGGAGGAGTAGACAAGTGGGTGTTGAAAAAGCTTCTAACCTAAAAATTCACAAGTCATGTTTGCTTTTCTTTAGGCTCAACGTTCAGACCACTTTAAAGATAAAAKACCATAGAGGATAAGGAGCAACACCTGGCAGGCAAGACAAGAGTGGTTTTTTGGACCAGATCTGCTGTCCCCAAAGAGGCACAGCCTGAGCAAAGGCAGCCAGAGCAGCTGCTAGCATTTCTGAAATGGATAAACCCCAGATCCTCCTGGAAATGAGAAACTCACTGAAGGTTTGGCATTCRTGTCAAACACCCCAAAATGAACCCAAACATTAATTGCAGAGAACCACAGAAGTAACGGTTTTGTTAGTGAAGGTACAAAAYTCTAGAGAACCGGGGAGATGATGTAGGATAAAATTAATAAGCTGCTTAAATTCAGCCAAAGAACAAAAGGCCTAAAGTGTGAAAAATTTTATCTTCATTCAGATATGCAAACAATTGAACACTGAAAATGTTGAAAGAAATGCCTGCTCAAAAAAAAAAAAACCAACCCTCTTTTTTTCCAGTCTTTGCTAAGACTCAGCCACACTTCCCCTCATGCAAGAAGCCCCTTGAATTTCAGAGCATGTTGCAAGGGCATGGAAAGCAAGTCTGCTTTAATTGCAACAATTTGCATAACCTGTTGTAACCATAAAAAAAAAGATCATTTGAAAAGGCAACCAAATTTTGAAAACAAGAAACTGAATTAGGAAACCAATAATAAAAAAAAAAAAACCTCCATCCATGAATGCTACGACAGCTACCTGACAGCCACAGCTTCTTCCTTTGAAATACACAGTGGAAATTCACAGCCATTCACTCCAGAGCCCTTACAACAACAACAAAAAAAAAAAAAAACAAAACAAAAAAAACAAACTGAGGGTTTGAATTGAATCAGATGCGTTTTCAAAAGTGCAAATTTAAAAAGCAACACCAGTCATGAAACATAAGCTCAAGCATCTCTCCTTCCAAAAGCTGGGAACTTTTTTTGTGCAATGTGCACATTTTAAGACACCGTGAGTGTAATCACAACTACTCTCTCCAACCTGAAGTTTCTTCTCGAGGCAGCTCAAAAAAAGTTTTGAGGCAGCRCTCTTCAGGCAGAAAAGCCATTCCTGAAACATGTTGATCCGCACAGCCAACACGTGGAGAAAACACAAATATAATAAACCATTCAAGTGTAGAAATTAAATCTCTTCTCAAATGATGATTTGGTTGTGCTCCCAACATACAGAAAGAAAGCAACTGACACACATTAGTGGTGGCAAAACTGGAAACTTCTTTTCCCCATGACAATTGTTTCCATTTGTGCACTTTTCCTTCTCTTGCCTTCCCCGTTTTGCCAATAAAATGCAATAAAACTGCAGGAAAAAGGAGGTAGCAATATCATGTTGCCCAAAGACAACACTACAAATTGTTTTTCCCCGTTACCTTAAACCTAACGAGAGCCTCGGGGGGTGTCAGAACAGTTGGTAAACTCTACACTACTTCATTCAGCTCTTATTTGGACTGTTGAATTTAGCTCTTATTTTGGTCCTGGTTGGCTTTTCTCAAAACCATCGGGTTTAAAGGCCAGTGGCAGTCTCRGATGTCCAACATCGGCAACGTTTCGAGCGTGTAGTGAGAAAACAGAACAAAACGATACTACTGGATATCGACTGCTTCAGCAGGGCTCTTTTTGTGCTTTCAGCTCATGGGGACAACGACAACCACTCYGTTATCTCAGCCCCACCTTCCCCAAGGGCAATCCCTCCCTTGTCCCAGCAGTCCCTGGCAGCCCAGGCTCACTGCAGCACGCAGTACTTTTTGTAGTCGGACTCGAAGTCCTCGTCCATGCTGCTCGTGTCTGCCATCTTCTTGCCATCGATYTTGGGCAGGAACTGGGCATAGTCCACCCCCTGCTGCTCGTAGAACAGAATGTAGGCAGAGTCCGTGTCGATCTCATCCGGGTGCAACTCCTGGCACGGGGAGAAAAACGCGATGGGATCATTGTGTTAGTGCCACTGAACTTCAAACACATGCTACTGCCCCAAAAAGTGTATTTTTAACTGTCTGAAACACAAGGAATTCCATTTTCTGTCTCCCCGCTTYGTTATCTGGCTCCATTAATTACATTAGTTTTATAGTGATGAACGCAAATACTCCGAAGTGTCAGAGCTAGGTATTCCCTAATTGCATCCAAACTGCTGCCATCATGGAAATGCATTCCTGGCTTTCCATTGTCCATCATTTTGCCATATTTGTACAAAATAACCATCTTTCTTTAACCCTGGGGGCAGCTGATGAACAGATGTTACCTTGGAAAAAGCAACTGTATCTCAGGTACAGTTTAAATGAATAATTTTCATATTTGTCTGATGTTTGATTCAGTAGAAGGTGTCCCTGGCCATAGCAGAGGAATGGAATGAGATGAGATTTGGGTCCCTTGCACCCCAAACCATTCTGTGATCCTAAAATTTCTTCAGCTAGAATTTCTGATTCAAAATTTCTTTAGCCCAGCATAACCAAGGCAAAATTATTAGAAGTAATTAGAATAATTACATGAAATAATGAGAAAAAGCAGTGCTTTACCTTACAGCTGCTGTCATTGTAGCAGTACCACTTGTTGTTCGGGTTTTTGGCATAAGTGACGTAATGACCCCCTCCCATAATTCCTGAATGGCACTGAAGGAAAGGARAAGAAACTCAAGATCAAACATCAATAAACAATTGCCAAGTTCATTATCTGTGAATGACAATGGCTCACGACAATGGAGAGAGCTGGAGCTGCCTGACTTTAGGAGAACAACGCAGCAGGGACTGTTCATCCTCGGTTTGACGGTGAATTCACCGCGCTGATGTTTGCCCTCCTTCCCTACAGCCCCCTGTCTCTGGCACCAACCCCACCAAGGCCTTTGGTCAGCACAGAGCCCCAGGAGGAGGGAGCAGGGAGCAGCCACCTACCGAGATTGCATAAAGGTTGTAGATGGGGTTGACGCAGACGTCGTCTCTTTGGTCGTCGGCGCCGTCGTCCTCGCTCTGGGTGTCCCCCTGGCCGTTGACGCCGCCGTTGCTGAGCGAGCTCTGCTCCCACAGGAATCCATTGGCCAGAGCCCCCTCGCCATCCTGGCTGGGGTACAGCTCGCTCTGGCTGCCCCCCAAAACCTGTCCTTTGGTCAGAGCATCCCCCTGCTCCTGCTCGSTGCCGTTCTCCCTGTTGGCATCCAGGTTCTCCTTGCTGTTGGACAGTTTGGTTTTGCCCAGTTGGGGCAGCCGCAGGCGCCCTTTGGCTCTCCCCAAAGTCCTTGGGCTGCTGTTGGGGCTGCTGTTTTTACTTGAAGGGCAGCTGGTTCCACTTTTCCTCCCCAAGGATGGAGATGCTAGGACAGAAAACACACAGATTATTAAAATAGGCTCAAACATAGGGTGGATTTCTTTCTAAAAAGTGATTTCTTAAAAAAAACCTAAACATTAAACCCCATTATTTCACTGCAGCTGATGAGTAATACATAGAAATAAAAACATATCATTGTGCACACACATCCATACATCCAGAAAGTAGAATTTAATTCTTTTATTAGTTAATGAATTTAAGTCTTTCATGAAGGAGCACATCCCTCACTCTTATCCCAGCCCACTCACCCAAATCCCAGTATCTGCTGTCACTGAGCAACTTTTTAATTTTTCTTTCATTTTTATGGTAAAGCTTCACTGAAAAATGTTTCAAAGTAAGCACACCTCTTCAGCAAAAAAAAAAAAAGAACTCCAAACATTAAAATATTGCACATAATAACATTTCCCCCTCCATGGGGTGGAATTTTCCCCTGTGATTGCCTACCTTTGACATTATTCAGGACAGCAGTGTTCAGGGAGGATGGACTCCTGTTGAGCGTGTCCCCTTCTCCCGGTGTGCCAGTGATGTGCAGATCTGTTTTCCTGCTGTCCCCTTGGCCAGTCCGTGCTTCAGGAAGGCTCTCAACCTGCAGGGTGAGCTGCTTCCTTTGGAAATGACTYGGATCCCTTTGTACCAAAAAGGCACTTGGGTCAAAATTTTCTCTGGGAAATTTSACGATTTTCTGGGATTTTATCCAGCGGCCGTTAACGAACTGGAACCTTTTCAAGTGAATGATCTGAAGAGAAACATGGTGGAGAAAATTGAAGGAGGACAGTGACATCCCAGTGAGTAATTTCACTGTTTAAAGGGAAATTTTTCACAAAACACACACATTTTGTTGTATGCTAATAAAACCAGTCACGACGCTCTGTGTGGCAGTTTGGATTTTGGCATCGAGCTGCTAAAATATGAAACTGATATTTTCATGTGGAAATGGTGGAAAAGGTTGCTTCAATTAAGTGATCTGTTTTGAATAAGCCACCAAATAGGAAAAATAAGAAATGCAGAGGAGAGATGGTGTTAATGGTGTCACTGGGAAGCTCCTCCGAGCATGAGCTGTGTCAGAGCAGCTGACACCGAGCACCAACCACCACCACTCCCGCCAGGGAGCAGCTAAAAGCACTCACAAGAATTTGAGGTTTGTTTTATTTGCCTGCACAATGCCAACAAAGCCAGTGCCCCTCCTGAGAGTGTGAACAAAACAAATCTTATTCAGAGCAAGACAACGTGAGATTTGGGAACGATGTGCTTTGGGTTTGCTGCTGAGGAGGAAAATCACACGAGCACGTACCAAAATAGGGGGAAGTCTCCAGAGATCCAATTTTTTGGTGGCCAGACAGTGAGTTTTGCACTTGGAGCAGTAGTACATCTCATCCTCTCCCAGCTCCTCCTCACTGGTGAAGGCTCTCAGGCAGCTGTCCAGGTTGATGGGCTCTGCCTGGGCTCGGCGGCTCTGCTCAACGCTCTCGTGCTCTTCCACAATCTGGAGGGAGACAAAGCTGGCTCTGACTTGGAACTGCACACACATCTCTCTGAAGAGGGCTCTCCTCACAGTCCCACACAAATAACTACACAGGGTTCTTCAGAATTAAAGATAAATATGAGATGTTCCAAATTTTAGCAGAAATTTTATTTCCTTTCATTTTATTTCATTTTTGTTATGAAGAGGCAGATAAAATCATTCACTGTCCTTATTCTKGGGCTCTGCTTATAAATTATCCATAAAGCACAACTTTATAGATTCAGCTCATAAATTAGACCAGTTGTTCCAGATTAATCCAGCTACAGGCTGACCTTTAAGGTATTTTGTTGTTACCTGTAAGTATTTTGTTGACTCAGTGAGGAAAAAGGTTTATTCATATGCATAGCTGTTTACAGAAAATAGTTATAGAAAATTATAATAGTTATAGAAAATAGTTATAGAAAATTTATCCAATTAAAATATTTTGTCATTTATTATTACATATTTTGGCTAGCTTAAAAGCAGCTCACAACAGACAGCAAATGCACTGCTGTGGTTCTTTAAAAGCTTCCCTTCCACGCCATTAGACCACGTAAGAGGTCTGACATCGAGACATCGATTTACCCAGAATATTCTGCTCTATCATTGGTTTAACAGAAAATGGCCACAATAAATAAATAAATATAAAAGGATGAAATAAATAAAAATGGAATGGRAGGTGTTTCAGAGGGCTCTGTGGTGTTTTACCCTCTCCTGTGAGGTCTGGTAGCGCAGATGCAGTGCGGTGGGGTCCCAGTCCACGGCGATGTAGGCGTTGCCCACACAGGCTCTGTCCTCTGAGCACTCAATTTTACAGCCACGGCAGAACCTGCACACAGAGGTGGATGTGGTCAGAAAAAGCTCCAATCACTTGGGCATGAACTCAGTTCTCCTCCTTGTTTGGTAACAGCTGCACCCTCCAAGCTCCAGGCCTCACCCTCAGTGTGAGACATTTTTACACAGCAATGCTCGGGGTTATTTGCATTTTCACTGCAAAACTTCAGTAGAGTGAGAAATGGAAGCAGCTGGGTGAGCTCAACCATCTGCCTGCAAATGATCCAAGGAAAGGGGTCCATGGGCATGGAAGGGGCTTGGAATGGGATGATCTTTAAGGTCCYTTCCATTCCATCCTGAACCAGGGCTGACCAAACCCAGCTGTGACCCAAAAAAACTTCACTGTTCTGTCTCCACAAGTAATTTCCACTATGACAATTCTAAGAGCTATAAAACACATTTAAAAAAAAATAGTTTACAGCCTGAATACCTAAATTCCAAGCATCCTTCCAGGGTGAATTTGGTTTTTGCCCATTTTAAAATTTACCCCTTGAACAGCACAGGAACTCAAATAGGTACTAAAAGACTGATATCTAAAAATTTGTTTTTGTGTGAAYCTCCACCCAAGTCTGTGGATAAACAAGGCTGCACATAGAATCTTGTAAGGGGTTAACAGGGTTTGGACAGTATCCTTTCTCTCTTAATTTCAAGTTTCTGTGGCAGCAGAACTTCCAGCTCTGCACGTCATAAAAGCTGTGCTGCAGTGCAAATCTGYCTGGAGAGAGTTCTGGTGAAATTCGATTGCAGATTCTTCTTGTTTGCTATTACCTGTGATGTCTGCAATGTACCACAGACCCATTACCATAAATTACCTTTCTGCTGGAGTGATTCCCTGCTGTAAATGGAGAAAAGGACAATTTACCTGTACCAGGGACACCAAGCACAAGAATTTCCATCCTTCTGAACTACCCTGAGGGTGAAGGGGTACTGATACCCCATGCTGTCATCACTGAAACAGAGGAGAACACAACATCAAGCACTGCAGTTATCTTCCTGCCCCATGCTTGTTATGATTACTTAAAAAAAAAACCCTTAAAATGCTAATTTTGGTTATAATAAATTATTAAAAGCTGCCTTTCTGTGGCTTAAATTTGTCAGATATAAATAATCATCAATCACCGGATGAGAACAAAACCAACCTTTAAGTGCAGCTACATTTAACTGCACTAAAAAGGATTTCATTTTAATTATTGCCATTACTACCAGAAATCAAATGAATACAATTTGAAATCTTACAATACAGTGCCTTAGACTTGCTTGCAACTCAAATGCAGGGCTGAGTGCCCAACTCACCAGTCCTGGGCATGGTTACTGGCTTCCTGAGGAGGGAGGGGGCTGGCCAGCCTGGAAACCTGGATCCACACAGCATCATAGAGATCCTTTTTACGGGTGTGAACCGTGCAGGGAACAATCAATGGCATCCCAAAGAGACTGGGACGGTTCTTCTGAGATGAAAGAAAATACAGCTCTGTCCTCATCTGTGGAGGCAAAAGGAGGAGTCAGTTGTAAAGGGGCATGAACTCACATTACAACAGTCACTTGTATTGCTGGCCTAGTGACTTATTTCAGRCCTTGGCAATTAAAATTAATCATTAATTGTATTAAAAATACTCTTCCAATTAAAACCCTTCCAACTACTGTTCCAATTAAAACCATGCTTCCAATATTAAATGCTGCAAATTTGGATCACTGACTGAAAAAGCTCTATTTGACGATGTTACAGTGAGGTTATTTGACCATATCAAACATAAATGTGTACTGTTATCAAATGGATTTAAAAAATCCTTTTTTTTTGCAAGTGTGTGGCACAAAGTGTGGATGAGGGTGCATCCCACTGACCATTTTCCTGTGGACTGCAATGATGTAGCCTGTGCAGGGGCTGTCCCCCAGCGAGGGCACGTGGCCRTTGAGGGTCCAGCTGGGCACCACCGTGTTTGGCATCCCGTTGGCAATGAGGCTGGGCTTGGACACATCCCCATTCATCAGGATGGTGGCAGCTCCATTGGCTGATGGCCCCGTTGAGATCTCTGCAGGCACACAATGAAATTATCACCCATCATTAAATTATCAATGATCCCAAACTTTTATCTTTTCCATTCCTGGTGGACGCCGAGCACAACCCTCACTTGTCCTTTCTTTAATCCTCACTTAACGAGTTTTGTCCTGAATTTCTGAGCTCTCTGCAGTTCCAACAAGCAGGGGAAGCTGATTTTCTCTCACCTGTCTGCACAGGGCTGGATGCTGAGCTGGGGGAGCCGGGGATGGGGATCTCAAATGCACACAGGAAGCCGCTCACAGACAGCCGAACCTTCTGGTTGTCCTGGGGGAAGTTCTGCAGGAGAGCAGAAAAGCTGCTCAGCACCTTTATCTTTCCAAAATGTTCTGTTTTCCTGAAAATTGCATTTAGAAGCTCCTTTCTCCCTCCCACCCTTCCACAGGAACAGAGTAACCCAAACCCTGTGCAGGAATTATCAGTGGTTCTCTATAAACACCAAGAGCACTTGGTTCAAGCACTTTTAATCTATAGCAAAAAAAAAAAAATCTATCTGGAAATATCAGTACCTGGAATATCTACATGGAAACACACTGTAGAGAACTCAGCCAGTCATTATTTATGCCCCTGATGCCTTGACACTGTTTAAACTCAAATTAAAAATTGAGATTTATTACCTCAAGGTGATTTTTTTTCTAAAAATATCATTAGCAATCAATTTTAATCAATTTACAGCAAGCCAAATCACTGTTTGAAAGCAAAATAAAAGTTCATTTAGAGAGATAACTAAGCTTTTTTCATCATACTTTTAGTTAAATTATTTCACAGCTCTTGTAAGCAAAACTCTAATGTTAAAAATAATGAAGAAGCAGCAAAAATACCCAAAGCATATTGCAGCAATGATTAATTTTCTTTTTTTTTTTACCTTTATATTGGAGCTATGCACCTCTGCAAGCAGAATCTGCTCTGGTTTGAGGCCACAGAGTTCACTCAGCTGTTTTTTCAAGCCTGTGTACTTCTCATCCATGTTCAGCCTCAGCCCATATCGAACAGGAGTGGTACCATCTAATTTAATTACTTTAAAGGGGGACAGAAGCACATTGGTCAGCGAGTTTTCATGGCAATAATACATTACAGCTCCTCACTTATTGGAAAATATTTTACACCCCCCATTTGAATGGATGATTTGTTTTATTTTCCCAGTCAATTTTCAAGGTCTGCAGCAATGGCACAATGTCGGGAAATCTCTTGCTGCACAGGCAAGAAAATGGTTTCCAAATTTGTTTCATTTTTTCATAATCTTTTCTTCTGCCTCTTTTCCAGCAATCCCTAAGAGCACAGTTCATGACCTGTTTTGTATTTTTCCCCCAGCCCTGATTTTTTCTCTGGGCAGATTTAGGACAACCTCCACAAGAGAGAGAACAGAAGGAAAGTCCTCAAAATTTCCATTTTACACCTTTCTGGATTAAATMCTTTAATTAAGGCTCAAAATGGGCTATGCATGTTCAGTTTTTAAAGGTTTTATCTTGAAATTCTTGTACTCTTTTATATTAAAATGACTGAATTATTCTTGGTAAATAACAATACAAAATTTGATTTTTTACAGCTGTTCCACTTATACAAATTTGGTTTTAGGAATACCAAGTTTACACCACTCACCTGTAATTTCTAGGTGCATGTAGCTGTCCATTGGCAAAGGCAAGGATAAAAAATTRAAAGGGTCAAACCTAACACTTATATGGCCACAAGTTTTACATTTCACTTGTGACTTCAGCTGCCCRTGAAATAAATCCACAACGATGGATCTGTTCCTTCTCAGATGGTTTTCCCAGGCCTGAAATGAAACACAAAAAAATCAAAACAAAGTTAGAAACTGAAGGCCACTTCCTTGGTCTCCAATGTTTTATGGGAGTCAAATTATTTCCACAAGTTATTTACTGATTTCTAGTAAACAGGAAATATTTAATTACAAGAGCTGAATTAATACAATAATCAACCATTTAAAATATTTCTGAGGGGATTATCAGGTATCTTGAAATATTTTGGTACTCCAGGATTTTGAGGAGTTGTTCAAAATAGTTTGAAGTATCATCTTCATAATTTTATTACAATAATTAAAATTAATTTTCAGCTCAAAGGTAGAATTGTCTCTGTAAATCACAGCTCTGACAAGATCAAGGTGGTTCAATCCTAAAAGTCTTGCCACAGGCAGCCTCATCAACAATTTAACAAAAAATAAAACTATAAGTACTATTAGGAAATTTTAAAAAAAAAACACAAAAAAAATTAAAATTTATTAGGAAATTAAAAAAAAAACCACAAAACCAAAGATTTGAAGCTCTACCTCTGCTGCTACTTCCCAGTCTGGCCGACCATCACTGTCCTTCAGTTCAACATATGGCTTATCATGAACTCTGTTTAAATCCTCATGAAGCCCATCCAGAAGAAAAGCCAGAAGCTCCTGGGAGTCTTGCTGCTGAAAGCCATTAAATCTTGGAGCATATTTTGCTATTGTCCACTATTAAAAAAAAAAAAAAAAGGAGCATATTTTGCTATTGTCCACTATTAAAAAAAAAAAAAAAAAAAAAAAAAAAAAAAGCCAGAAAGTTATTTGGTATCAGGTAACAAATGTAAAAATAAATCAGAATATTGGAGATGAGACATGTGCTGTCAATGAACACAAATTCAACTGCCAAGAGCTGAAGGGAAGATTTGCTTTCAGAACAAAGGGTCATTTGCAGGTAAATGCATCATCTTTTGGCCCTAAAAAGGGCTATAAAAGCCCCATAACTGAGTCATATCAGTGACTCCTTTGACCTTAAAA